GGTCAGCGCGATGGGTGCCGCATGTGCTCACTCCGGACAACAAGCGTAACCGTGAGATCACTCCAGAGCCATGTTTGACTCTATTTAAGTGTAATCCTAAGGAGGTTAGACATCGTTTTGTAATCGACGACGAAACATGGATCCGCTGGTACACACCACACACCAAAAAATAGTCTAAAAAATTTACTTCTTCCGGCGAACGTGCTTCGAACGAGGTGAAGACTGCCCTATCGGCCGTAAAGGCGGTGGCCACCGTTTTTTTGGGATTCACAATTTGTGATCTACATCGACTAGCTAGAGAAGACCAAAAATCATAATTCCAATTATTTGGCCAATTCGACGCCGAATTTTAAGGAAAAAGTACTCTTTCACCATGAAAAGGCACCGGCTTACACTCCCGCCATCGTCATGGCCACTTATAGTCACCTATAGTCACTCAAATTAAAGTTAGAGAAGCTAATCACAACAAAAGAAATGGACTTCTAGAGTATATAAGCAGGATATCTAGAAGAGTTAAAGAAAAATTAAAAAATTACAAAATACACCAACAACTAAGCTGGTGTAGGAGAAAAATAACGGCAATTAAAAAACATATAAAGAAACCATCAAAAATAAATAGTTGTTAAATAGTAGGGACACGTACAACCCACATACAGAAGAAGAACAACAAAACAACTCTGGAAAGAAAATCTGGAATAAAAATCAGGAAGAAAAACATGACCAAAAGACGCTGAATCAGTTTTAAGGTAGGAATTCATAATTAGATGAGAGAAAGTGGGCTGAAAGAAGACTAATGGAATTACCGATTGAGGTGAAGATTATAAAAATTTAAAAAATCAATATACAAAAATAATACACTTTAAGAAGACCAGTCCTTTAAAATTTCACGATCTTCGTATAGCCTGGAATAATATTACGATCTTTCTTTTAGATCCTGCCAGAACCTGAGGTTGGAAAATGGGTAGATTCTTGTAGATCTGTACAAAAATCTTCCGGCTTTCATAAAGTTACATAACACAGTAAGCATGATACAACTACTTCGCTATTAGTATATACAAGATTTACACAATCAGTTTATTAAATCTAAATTTACTGTAATGTATTTGGTTAAAAGACAATACATTGCCGTGATATAAAAATCAATAATTATTTATAATTTTTAATGTTTAATTAACTAATTATTAATATTTCGTATTAACTTGCATTTCAAGATTTTGACAGATTTATATTTAAGCATTCGCTACAATTTTGATATTATTTATGTTTCAATAGCTAAAACAAAACCTCAACTAATTTTTTGAAAAGTGTATAATTTTTGTAGTTATAATATTCCATACAATTTAGTGTTTTATGTGTTAGCAATAAAATGTTAATGAGTTATTGGGTGATTGTAAAAAATGTTAGTTTTAGGTGCTCATTAAACAATGGTGAAAGAATGAAATCACAAGGTATATTTTATTGACGAGTTATATCATTTGATAAGAACTCTAGATTAAATTAAGAGAAACATTTTTTATTTGTAATACAATTAAGAGCTTCACTTGAAAGTTATGAAAGCAATGTCTCACTGTCGTGTTACCCATTAAAACGACCGACCAGACTCACAGGCGTATACCAATTTAAATTTATATTAAGACCTTTAAAATTCTCCTAACTGGTGTGGGGTTCGAATTACCTACGACTATACCACAAACGTGAAGTGCGTGCTTCTTCCAACCTGTTGAGCTTCCAAGCCGTTTTTTGTATTTTGCGCCCAATTTTGGACGCCAATATTTATTTGCTTAAAATTAAATACTTGTCTAAATTGTTTCGATATTTAACCATCACCAAGAATTAGTTAACTAATATTTTATTTTCAGGGCTTGTAGGATTTCAGGAGGTGTTTTATAAATCTGTTGTCAAAATATATGGAATTCTCGCAGAATGCTCATCAAATATCTGAATTCTGAAGGCAGTCGATTGGATACTTGTCAGAAAATTCTGTGCTTGATGGTTTACTTTGCATTTCGTAAAGTGGTCATACGAGAAAATAATTACTGATAGTGCTCTGATATAATGCTATTGGTCGGAATTTTTAAATCTTCTCGATGTATGAAGGAGTTACACATCATTGTTTGTGTTGCAATTTTATTTTAAAAACATTACCTTGCCATAAACATTTTTTAAGTGGATTACGCATATGAATCACAGTGCTCATACTACAGTAATAGAAAATTATTAAAGTAATTATTAAAGAAAAAACCTATGATAAATACAAATCAAGATCTCTTAATCTACCCAAATATAAGGAACGAATTAATGAAATAAGTATATAAGATTATTGTACAGCTCAATATTCTCTCTATTTTCAAATGGACCTTTAAAAAATATATCGACACATTAAAAAGTTTTATACCATAATATAAATTATACCTATACTTCATATTAACGTAGAAAGCATATAATTATTACCTATCATATACCGTCTTCCACATAGTTAACCATAGATATTCCTTATAATTCCCAAAATTTAGCGTCCTTCAATATTTGAGCAATGGGTGGCCCAACGCCCCAATATTTTTTTTGATATTGTAAAGCAATTCTTTTAATGATAGAACAGTATTCTAAACGGTTTTTATCGTATATTTTTATGTTTGATCCTGGTTACTTCGTCTGTTTTTGATAGTTAACTATTGGATTAAGATTAAATTAACCATTTCTTCATTAGTATATCCTTATTATTATAACCTTAGTAGAGTTCTACTTCCAATTTAATATTCTTTACCGATTTTAATTTCGTTCGTCAAAATAATTTCGTAGCTATCTTCATATTGTTTATATTCAGTCCTGTATTTTTTTTTTGAACACATCATCGTTTGTTTTCTTCTTATTCGACTATTACAATTTTCACCTATAAAACAGGTTATTTAAATACCCATATCTCTCCAACATCGACTCTTAAAAGTATTGTGTTTATAGGAGATTGTAATGATAATTATATAGTAGCTGAAAATTTAAAGTTTCGATTTCCACTCCGGAAATCGTTTTCAAAAAGGATTGCATCTACAAAATACCCTGTAAATGCAAATGTTTCTATGTGAGAGAAACCGCACGACCACTAATTGTCAGGATAAACGAACACGAAACGTATGTCAAAAACAGGGTCTTCGACAGGTCACGGATATGCGAACATGCCTGGGACAATGGGACAACGAATATAGAGTAAAATGGAAAGATGCATCAGTAATCACGACAGAAACAGACATGAAAAAAGAAACAGAAATATAAAGAAGCATGCCCTCATTCTACTTAATGAAGAAAAATGTGTAGCAAACCTATCAGAAGAATGTAAAAGGCTTTGGTTGCCAACCGTGAAAGAAGAAGCTAACAATAAGGATATACCAATAACAGCAGATTAAGAAACTAGTCTGAATACGACATACCTTTTATTCAGACCTAGATAATACATATGCAACACACAACACATATAGATACTACACAAACATTCATACACACATACACGCTTATTAAACATATTAACAATGCAGAACAATTAGAATAATCAGAATTTGAAGTTCATTATGGCAAAAAAACACCCCCATATCTTTCTTAGCCAAACCATGGATGTTGCCTATTATTACGTTTGGAATGTCCTACGATTAATTTTCGCAAGAGACTCCTGGTTCGAAAAAATATAAAATTAAATTTCTGTTAAAAAAAAATTACTCTTGTATTAAAATACACAAATAAGACTTTAAAAAAAGTTTTATTTAATTCAGTTTCGTTCGGTGATACAAATTCGACTAACTAACCCTACGCAATTGAATATATTCTTATAATATATGATATTCGATACCCCTACATTCTCAGACGAAAAAGTCATTAAATTTTAGTTGCTTTCACCAGCCCTCAGCCGGAAAGACGATACGCTGATTACAAGGGATTTTAAGTTAAGGAAAATAAACGTTAAGTATTTACTCACTTACTTAAGTATTCTCACACCTTGAGAAATTTGACATAATTTCTCAAAAAAATGCAGAGAGTTACGAAAAAGTCATGAAAATATCACAAATCTTAAAGGAATTCTCACCACCCGGCTACAACGCGTATATCTTTCATTTAAGTCGGGTACTCTGCTTTTTATCACTCCCGCACTTTTTCACTTGGTTCTTTCACGTCGTGACATGAATATGACGTCATTGGACGTCATATTCAATAGTGACGAAATGGCATTTTTGGACATTAAAGATGTAATATCTATAACACCGTGGCCAGGTGTTTCCACTTTTTTGAAAAAGGGATTTCCGGAGTGGAAAAGAAACGTAAAATTTTCAGCTAATAAGCCACATTCAATTGTGGCTTAATCCCATATAAACACAATATTTAACTTGGACATGCCACAAGAAAACATTATCAGAATCTTATTTAGTATTTAGTCGCCCTATTTTATTAGAGTTGTGTTATTTTTGTGTAATCTTATGGAGGTGTTTTTGGCTGGAAGGCTACTAAATAGTGGTTGCTGTTATTGTGCTATTATACTGCGTACCGATAATATAGTCTTTTAGTTTTAAAAGTTTCCGAAAACTTACTTGTTCCTGTATTTGGTGTACCCGTGATGAAGAATAAAAAATAAAAAAAAACACCTTCAGCAGAAAAAACTCATTAATAAAAAGGAATACTGCATATAGAGCTAAATTGATTACTAAGAATCTATGGTTACAAGCCCTGTAATGTTTTCATAAACAGTTTTATTTTTTAAAAGACGACGTCATACATATAAGAAAAAAACAAAAGTAAAGGTATATTCAAAACATAATAAGCTATTGAGACCTTTTTAAGGTAATTGTACATCTCACTATAGCCGCTGCCCAGAAAGCCCATGATAGTATCCATTTCGTTCCACTTACACTTTGTTTCGTACATGTACGAAACAATACAAAAATAAAAACTAGAAAATATTTCTATCGACAGAACAAATAAGAATCTTAAACGGTGTCATGAGAGAAAACAATATATCTTACCTTTGGAATCTTCAGCATCAACGACAGTTTCCTCTTTAGGTATCTCCTGCTGAGGAGGCGATGGCTGTGGAGGTTTTGGAGCGGGTCTCCGTTTACGTTGTGGAGGTTTCGGTCGTTCGGGAGGCGGATCTTGCTTCGGTGGTGGCAGAATAGGTTGCTGAATGACAGCAGGTGGTGTCACTGAGCGAGAATCGTCGCTATGAGTCGGTGAAATCGAACGTGTATCGCTGGAGATTGAACCTGAGCCCATACTCTACAAATCATAAACGAGAATCAATAAGAATGTATGATTTTATCAAATTAAAAATTATATTTTTACTATATAAACAGCAACATTTATAGATCTACAAGTGTTTTATTTTAATTATTCACATTTTGTTGTTTTCAAGACGTTAATTACACAATGCAATACTGTAGTATAAATTTTATTGTTATTTTCAAGAAGTATACTAGTAGATAAAATACAGTATACATTTTTTTGTTATTTTAAAAATGTATAGTAGTTTGTATAGTTTTTAAAAAGGAAAATATGCCACATTAGTTACACCACATAACAAATATTGCAAGAATACATTCTTGCAATATTTGTTATTGTCCATTTTTTCTAATATATTTGTAAAGAACATAGTAGAAAAATTCAATACATTGTTATATCTTTATCTTAGTGCTGTAATGTAAGATTTCTGATTTACAAATCTGTAGAAAATTATTCTAATCACTTTTGATATCTGTTCAGTCATCTTGTATGTTTCCTCTTATTATGTGTCGGATATTCCGATCTCTTTTCAGAACTCGTGTTTTTGTTTTCAACAATAAATCTTACGGTTAAAATGATTATCTTTTTTTGTTAGTTTAGGCTTCTTTGTTTGGCTCTAGTTATTATGAAAATTTTCGAACGTAGTTCGAAAATTTATCTTAGCTTCCAGTGATAAGTAGATCATTGTTGCTTCGTATTAACGAATGTCTTAGTTCTGACGCAATAGCTACATTAAAAAATTGTTTGGTTGTCTTATAACAAATATTATTTCGGATTGTCCCTGTAACTATCAAGTAAATATAGCTGACGCAGTAACCATATTTATTCGGATGTCTCACCATAGCTGTTGTTTTGGTTTGACACTTTAACTACCAAGTAATTACCATTTATGACATATTTTAATATCCTTCCCTCCATTTACAGCTCATGTCTTATTGATACATCGAAGAGTCACGTAATCATAATAATTCGCGGTTTCGTTCATAATAATTGTTATCTTCAAATATAAAATAAAATCTCAAAGATGTTATTTAACCTCTGGTTATAAAGTTGACTTTATAATTTTAATTATGGTATATACAGGGTGGTGAATCGGCAAACGGGCCATAGGGAACTCAATGGTAAATTCTAAATTGTTGAATTCCTGCTTTCCTAATTATTTTACACCAAAAGTCATAGAAAACTATTTGTAGAGGACTCAAATATGTACCGAAAACAACTGTTAAAATTATTCTACTACTTAAATGTATTCCAAAATTTTGCTAAAATATAATACATTTTTCTGTGAAAAAATGTGTATTACGTGTTGCGTTTTGTCATATTATTGTTTCTGATATTTGACAAAATTTTTAATCAATTATATTATATTTATCTATGATTTAAATGGCCAAAATTTTATGATTTATTGTTAAAAAAAATTAAGTTGATTAAAAAATGTACTCAGTTGAGGAGAAAAAAGCAATAATAAAAATGTTTTATTCATGTTTTATTATAACATTTGTTATAGTTTTATGTTTAGAAATAATCATAAGTATATTATTATTAGGAATAAAGATCACAGTAACAGTATATTGGAATTCATTGAATTGTTGTATAACTTAACTTAACGTGGAATTAAATTTTAGTGAATTAGAATATCTTACGTTAAATAAAGATCCGGTAGTGGCAGGAAAAGGTTCGCGCTATCGCCTGAATACAACGTTATGCGATTTTTCGCCAATTGAGTACATTTCATTATATTGATCGATTTGTAAACAATATTATTTATTGTTCACAAAGTAATAATGTTCAGTAGTAGTAGTATTTAGTAAAATTCATTGTTTATAAATTAATCATAAAATAAAAAAATTGACAATGCAAATTGTCAAACATCTGACATTAATATGATAAAACAAACACGTCCTAATATATATTCTTGCATTACGTGTGGCCTAACTTTTAGGGGTGGTCTGAAAAATGTATCACATTTTTTCAAAACTTTGAAGTACAGTTGATTCGTAGAACGGTTTTAACATTTGTTTTTAATTCAGATTTTAGTCCTCTACAAATAGTTTTTTATGACTTTTAATCTAAAATAATTAGTGAAGCAGCAATTCAACAATTTAAAATTTCTCATTGAGTTTCCTATGGGCCGTTTGACGATTCACCACCCGGTATATATATATATATATATATAATATATATATATATATATATATATATATATATATATTTAGTATATATATATATATATACTAAAATATATATATATATATATATATATATATATATATATTTAGTATATATATATATATATATATACTAAAATATATATATATATATATATATATATATATATATATATATATATATATATTTTAGTTTTAGATACCCTTTCTAGTTTACAAATATTGAAAATATTTTTGTGCTATATATGTCGAATTTTTTTCTTTATTTTCTGTTTGTTCACTCAATTATTCATAACATTAGTAGATAAGATCGTCATTTCTTATAGTTGTACTATAATTTGCCAACATTTGAAGGAAACATATTATGCCAAAGCGCCACCGATCAATCGGTCCGTAGAAGGTTGGCTTGGTTGTGCTTCACATCATTCAACCACCTCTGACACGGCTATCTAGGAGATTTTAACCTTATCCGGAGGCCGGAGAGGCCTCCCTCTCCGGCCTCGTGTCAGGCATATGTCCAATGTGCCAAATTTTGCTGAACGTCACTTAACTTCACTTTCGCTACAATAGTTCCATTATTGACTTTATTACGTTTTTACATTTATCAGTCTTGGATATGTTCCATTTAAGGTACTGTTTTAAAGATAGGTTTTACAAACAACTTTTTCCTTATTTCACCAAAATATGTGATAGTTGATATAACAGCAGTTCCATATGCTGTTGAGTTAGAGGAGTTTTACACTCAAATAATTTTCCTGCCTTGATCCTTAGCAGTGTTTTTTAACTCGTGTAACAATCATTTTGTACTAGACAATTGTTTACAGGTACTTAAAACTTTGTACTTCGAAATTCGTATTTCTTCGAGGTTGCAAATTTGGTTTCCCTTATGCTCGTATTATTATTACACTGCTTAGTACACAGATTACTATTATACTGCTTGCTTGAATTGATGTCTCTTCCTGTCTTTTAAAAAAGTATTGATTACAGAGAAGAATACTTATACACTCAGCGTACTCCAGATACTGCAGTAATTTATTTCACCACTATTTATCTCAATATTCTTTTAAACGTATGTTGAAAAGAATACACGAGAGGGAATTTAAAAAAGACCTGACAAAAAAAGGTAAAATCTCGTTAGTGAATAATGGTTAATGGCTCCATAATTTTTGGTATAGTAAGTTTTAATTTCGTTTTTAAGTGGATCAATTTTCAATTTGAAACAAAGTTACTCAAAGAAAGTAAGATTACTTTGAAATCATATACATTCTACCATTCACCATTCTACGGTGAGGTCAACGAAATAACTCTCCTGCTGTTACCCGATTTCTCCCAGCGGTGAAACGACTGAAAGCTCAGTATTCATTTAGTGGGGTACATGCAAAGTGTTTAGAGTGCAAAGTGCCAGTTTGATCGGCTATTCAACTTGTGTCCATCACTGTTTCACTACAAAGATTTACTTAATTACTACCGCAAAGTTCCGAAATTACTACTTTGTGGCATATCTAATTTAAATATGATTTTTTTATTGGATTAAGCCACAATTATTGGCTGTGATTGTGATGAACATCACGTTTTCGTTAACTAATATTTAAAGTTTAGGTTTCCACTCTGGAAATCGTTCACAAAAAGGTTTTTCACAAATTCTGAAAAAATGTGTACAACCAACATTTTTATTGTTTATGTCTTTTCAAAGTTGACATGCTTGACCTAGACCTTGTAGGCCAACAGACTTAGGTGGCTATAACAAATTTTGGGTGTGGTGTTTTTACCCTAGGAACATCAAATTCTGAGTGTTTTTGTGACTTCTGTGTTATTGTTTGTATATAAATTGTATCACAGTTGTGACTGAGTAAAGTAAATTGAGCAAAAAATGACTTGTTTTTGTGTGTATTGTATGTTGCATGTGTGTTGTATGTTGGATTGTAGATGATGGTTTTGACTTTATTACTCGGCGATTGTTGGTATATTCTTGTTGTGGACTTCTTCTTTTATGCCAATACTAAAACATTTACACAAACATATAACACAGAACACACAAAAACAGTCTGAATTAGATATTCCTAGGGTGAAAACACCATCCTCAAAATTTGCTGTAGCCACTACGGGCTGTTGGCTTACAAGATTTAGGAGAAGCATGTCAACTATGAAATGGCAAAAACTTTGCTTACACAAAAGCACGAAAACACGATCTAAAAATTTGCACGACAAAACTACTAGGATTTTCTATACAAATATTCTATTTTGAAGTGTTTGTTATACCTTTACATTCGTACAGTGTCTGAATACGCATGGGAGTACCTGCTGATGTAATATTAAAATATATAGAGAAAACCATAAATATTACCAGAGGATACAGTTATTTTTTTTTAACTCACCGATTTTCCTCTCCTAAATATTAAGTTGAATACACCTCCTCCAGTCTTGTTATGCATTTGCTTTCTCTCTTCTTCTTTTCTTAATGCCATAATGTCGCTACTGGAAAATGCTTGAGTAAGACTGTGTGTTCCTTTCCCAACTACGTAAATTTCGGTGATCTGATAATCGCTCAATGTTAATTTGGGATCCAAAGTTTCATTGATGTTTCCTAAAAATCAAAGAGTGTTTAAAACTAAGTAAAGGTAATAGCAATTAGGAAATTTCAATGATTTTTTGTTTATAATTACGCTTTAATAACGTATCTTATAATGCTCGTGCACATAATAATTAAAAAAAATTACATATAAATATTTTTGCGGTCATCAAAAAAAAACGAAGTTGGTGTTAAAAGTTTTACGGTGTCATTCTATGGAAATTTATACCAAGTATAAGGCATTAACATGATTCTCGATTGTTATAGACGTTTTGCGAACGATATATATGGAAGTGGGACAAATGACAGACGAATAGAGGAACAGTATATTAGTTTGTTTACAAATACAAAGAATATATAGGTATAATAATGTATAAACTACAGAGCCATACAACAACTCAGTCACACCATAAAAATATGGGAGAGAGTCATTGATAGACGTGCACATAAAAAAACCCATATATTCGAAAATCAGTTTGGATTTATGAAAGGCAGATTATTAATAGATGCACGAAAGAAATGAAGCACATAAGAATTTCATACTCAGACGAACTAGAGAGAGAAGGACAGAATTTGAGAATAAAAGACGAAGAGCTGATAAACTATGCAGACAGAAAAAGAGACGGTACGAAAACAACCAGATACTAAACATAGAGAGGGCGTTCAAGGAAAACGAAACACGCAGTGCATACCAACTTATCAAACATTTAAGACAGGGTTACAAACCGAAGACTAGCCTATGCAAAAATAAGAATGGGGAAATAATTAGCGATATGGACGAAATTAAGAGAACCTGGATGATGTATTTTAAGGAATTATTAAACGAAAGGGCACAAACACCACTACAACAGCGGCAGCAGCAGGTAGAACAGGAAGGTCAACAACAGGAGCTGTGGGAAGATGGAGAAGATAATGAATTGGCTAGACCTCCAACGCTAGAGGAGGTTCGAACAGCAATCCAAATGCAAAAAAGCCATAAAGCGCCGGGAATAGATAAGATACCGGCAGAACTGTTCAAGCAGGGAGGAACAAATTTGACAGAACAGATGTACCAGCTTATACAAGAAATATGGAGAGAAGAAAAAATCCCACAACAATGGAAGAAAAGTATAATCTGCCCTATTCATAAAAAAGGAGACAAACTGTTATGCCAGAATTATAGAGGCATCTCTTTACTTTGTTCGGGATACAAAATACTCACAAACATTCTTAATCGAAGACTTCAATCCCTTACTGAAAAAATTATCGGGGAATATCAAGCAGGGTTCAGGCGAAATAGATCTACTATTGACCAACTATTTACAGTTAAACAAATACTAGCCAAAGCATGGGAATATGACATAGACGTCTACAATCTCTTTGTAGATTTCAAGCAAGCCTGTGATTCAATAGATAGAACAATACTACCTAATATATTACAAGAATTTAGCATACCATCAAAATTAATAAGACTAGTGCAAATGACAATGACAGAAACAGAAGCACATGTATGTATTCAAGGACAGATCACTGATGCGTTTATGACAACGCAAGGACTGAAACAAGGTGACGGACTAGCTCCAACACTTTTTAATCTTGTTCTTGAATATGTAATTAGACGGTTGACGGTGAGCAGAAATAACATACTTACAAACAAATCTACCCAATTAGCAGCATACGCAGATGACATAAACATAATGAGCAGAACAAAGACTGCGGCAGAAGAAACCTACGTTCAGTTGAAACAGAGTTCAGAAGTTGTAGGGCTAACAATAAATACAAATAAAACAAAACTACTCATACAAACCAGATCAAATAGACAGGCGCAACAACAACAATTTATAGACGATATAGAATACGTGAATAGATTCACGTATTTAGAAATGGATCTGGTCGAAAATAATGAAGAAGAACCGGAAATAAATAGAAGGCTTATGCTGGCAAACAAAGCCTATTTCGCGATGGGCCACATATTCAAATCGCGAGACGTACACCGGAAAACAAAACTCCAGGTATATAAAACAATAATCCGACCCATAGTAAGTTATGGGTGTGAAACATGGGTTATAACACAGAAATCTACCAATGCATTAGACGTGTTCGAAAGAAAAATATTGCGTAGAATACTGGGTCCAATAAAGGAAAATAACAACTGGCGAATTAGATATAATAACGAAATATACGAACAATACACTGAACCAACACTAGCACAATACACTAGACTGCAGAGATTACGATGGGCAGGGCATGTGGCCCGCATGCATGAGAACAGAATCCACAGAAAATTACTAAACGCAAGAATGCAAGGAAAAAGACCTGTTGGAAGACCAAAAAAGAGATGGGAAGACGAGGTAGATGAGGATGCCAAAAATCTCCTAAAAACGCGTTCATGGAAAAGAACAGCAGTAAATAGAGATGTTTGGAGAGGTTTAATGAAGGAGGCCAATGCCCGGCTTGGGCTGTAGTGCCATTGGATGGATGGATGGAGATTATTAATAGATGCAATTTTCATTGTAAGGCAGTTGATGTAAACATAGAGAAATAAAAAAAGAAACGCTCATATGATATGTGTTCGAGTTTAGGAGATTATGTGGTGAGTGCTTAGTAAGAATGGAGTTTAGGGTTAATGTGTGAAGATTATGAAAGACATGTATTAGGGAAAAACAACTGGTCTTAGGACAGGTGTTGTAGAACCTGATAAATTTAATTTGCAAGTAAGATTGCATATGGGCTCAGCGCTTAGTCCTTATTTATTCTCACTAGTGTTGGATCAGATAACAGGTAAACCACAGTCTTTGGTTCTTATTGTTTGCTGACGATCTGGTGTTCCTCATCGAAAATACTGAAAGGGATTTAGAATCAAAACTAGAACAGTAAAGATAGGATATTTAAGAAAAAGGTTTAAAACTTACTATAACAAAAACAGAGAGTATTTTAAAAGTCCATTTAAAGATAGATAGTACAAATAAAATAATATCTTTGATATCAATAATATGATATCAACAAATGATAACTTTGTGTACTTGTAAAAAGTAAAAGTAAAAGTACCTATGATCAGTAATCCAGGCTAATGAGTAAACAGATGAAAAATCATGCAAAAGAATTAAGGCGGGATGGAAAAAGTGAAAGGAAAAGAGTGGGATGTCGAGAAATAAAATAGAGGTAAAATATTTAATGCTATTGACGATGTAAAAGTACATACATACAGAAATAAAGGGCGTTTCTTACACTTGAAATGACAATGTAAACAAATAAATAAACAGAGGAAAACCTAGAAGTTAATATAAAAAGGATCAGAGAAAAGCACCAGAGGGGGGAAGGCATTTGGAGCTAAAAAATTTAAATTGAATTGAAACAGATTGCATCTTGTCCAGAAATTAATTCATTAAATACTGTGCTAAATGTTTTTTCTACAAGTAGCAATCATAGACTGGTTCGAGCAAAGTTAAGCATTAATAGCCATTTTAACATCAAGGAAAACAAGTAAAAAACCAGAGGTTTGCGGGCATGGCGAAACTGAAAAAAAGCGTTAGAAAAACAAAAATATAAAGAAAAAATAAAGAAAATAGTTCCAAAAAGAGAAAACTTAGAAAATCTAAACATGAATGACCTAAACAACCTATTCACTATTACGTTAATAGAAGTGGAAGGAAATATTGTACACCAAATCAAAGGGAAAACTACATACCTCAAGAAACTAAAAATTTAATGAATAAAAGAAAGTCTTTCCTAGAATAACGCAAAAGAACTATATAATATGAAGTAGTATACAATGATATAAAGAAAAATATTAAAGAAACAAAAAAGTAGCAAAAAGAAGAAAAAATTAACAAAGCAAAATAACAAAATAAGTACATAAAATATTTAAAACTACAACTAGGAAAGACACAGGTGAATAGTATATGATACAAATATCGGAGATGATACAAATATCGGTTGGAAGTACATAACTTATAGGATATCATACAAATAACAGAAGAATATTACTCGAATCTTTATAGTTCCAAACAACAGCCATCAGACGAAATACTCACATAATTAACAATAAAAATAAAATATGTGAACTCAGATCTACAACTGCAAATAAGTAAGCTTGAAATTGAGAAATTGTATAGGCTATTATACCTAACAGCCAGAACAAAAGCAGTGACGCTAGTATTATTTAAGAAAGGAAACAGAAAAGAATTAAAGAACTACAATCCCATAATCCTATAGTTCAAGCTTTAGAGAAAAAAAGCATTAAATAGTTAATTTTTAAAACCAGCACAGCGGTATGAAGGGCCAATGCCTAGAGTAACCTTAGTGTTTGCAACTACAAACTGTTGGTTATAATTTTTTTGGTACTTTTACGGTGTAAAACACGGTGATTTTTGATTATTTTTATTTTTATTGTATGTATTGTATGAAATCAATATCTCAATATCAATTAAAGTATATAAAAAAGCTTTAATTTGGGCTGTGCTATCTCTATGTGTTTAATAATGGTAAAAGTCAAATAATACTTGTTCCTATAAATCTTTAAAATAGCAACTACTACGACGTTTATTGTTGATCACAGAATAGTGATACACAAATTGTGTTTAACATCTGATTCATTTGGAACTTACTATGATGAAGTCTAGTTGATTTAACACAAATGAGATGAAATGAAAATGACTATAACCGAAAACACATAACTACTAGGCGAATAACTAAACAAGAAGTTATATGAAAAGTATACTAATTATACAACAGAGTAAAAATAAAAATAAAAAATAAAACTTGATAATTTAGCAGATTTTAAAGCAAGCGCAAATTTTTAAAATCTACCTTAACCACGTGTTATCTCCAAGAAATATTGTCCAAATATATCTGTACACATAAACCAAAAATATTCACCATAAATATCGGTTTTTAAAACCTAAACTAAATAAGAAAACCGTCGAAACACCTTACTTTCCGTCAAATCTTTTGGTTGTAGAGGGGGTTATAATGACTTCATTTGTCGGCAGCAGGTTAACATTCCACATTCCACAAAGTAATGAATAATGACCAAG